TTACACCATCTCATGATGTTGCAGCAGTTGTGGAGAATAAAGACTGTGAGATGGCACATGAGCACAGACTCGCTCCGCTGCTGCAGAGATGATATGCATGACTTCAGTTACTGCAGCATTAAAGCAATGGAATGATGAGTTTGTCGGTTATAGTTACAACAAAAAAATGTGTTCGCTTTCAAACTGAATGTGTAGTAAGATAGCCTGGCTAACATCAGACCACGTCTCACTGAGATTGAGAAGTAGTCTGGAACCACATGTTCATTTTCTCGTATTTGAGGTGAGGTTTACGAATGCACAAAGCCGTTTATTGGGTGCTACGAATGACTATCAAATGCGGCCGTTTCAATTATAACAAATGACATATGTAGAGCCACAGAAATTAGACGAGGAAGAAGAATTACATGTACACGATGGCATATGTATCTAAGGCTGCATCGAAAGGTAACTTTGCGTCTGCTGCCATGTTTGATCCATAGGTATAAACAAACTGCTTCGGTGTGTCTTGCTGCTCCCTGCCCGTTCTGTGATTGGTCCCCTCGCTGAGGCGAAAATCTAGTCCATGGTATCCAGACTGCCTAACAGCGTGAATAAAATCACACTGCGCAAAGGCAGCATGGGGAAACTCGGGCTAGTAGTAAGAAGCATTTTAACTGTTTAGTGCTTCTCAGGGCCTCTTGGTTTCCCACTGAAACTAAGCAGGGTTGAGTCTGGTCAGCACCTGGATGAGAGAACACACAACACTGCTGGTGAGGAGGTGTTAGTGAGGCTCCAGTGTATTAATGTGTGGATAGTGTTCAGCAAAAAGGCACCATCCTTCTGATAAGATGTTAAATTGAGGTCCTGACTGTTTGTGGTCAGTAAAAATCCCCATGGTGTTTCTTGAAAAAAAAAGAGTTGGGCTGTAATTCTGACATCTTTACCCTCAGCCTCTATCCATCATGGTCTCTTAATCAACCCCAAATACACACACAGGCTGGGGTCTGTAAAGCACTTTTATTATTTATTATATATTTTTTTAACGAATTACATTTACCATTTAAACATATTGAGATTGACTTAAAGGAGTAGTTCATTTTTAAAAAAAAACTTTTGCTGATAATTTACTCACCCCCATGTCATCCAAAATATCCATGTCATTCTTTCTTCAGTCGAAAAGAAATGAAGGTTTTTAATGAAAACATTCCAGGATTTTTCTCCATATAATAGACTTCAGTGGGAACCAAACAGTTCAAGTTCCAAAAGACAGTTTCAGTGCAAACTGCAAACTGTTCAAAGGGCTTTAAATGATTTCAGATGATGAATAAGGGTCTTATCAAGCGAAATGATCGCTCATTTAAAAAAAATAATAAAAAAGTTTAAGTTTTATAATCTCAAATGGTCGTCTTGCTCTGTTCTGTGATGCGCATTCGTGACTCTCCTATTCAATCTCATTCATCAAAATGGACGAATCTTTTTTCGTGTCATTTGGTTCATTCAACGAATGAAATGAACGAATTGACTCGGGGAAAAGATTCGAATTGACTCGAGAAAAATCCCGGAAAGTTTTCATCAAAAACCTTAATTTCTTTTCAACTGAAGAAAGAAAGACATGGACATCTTGGATGACATGAAGGTGAGTAAATTATCAGCAAAACATTTTTTTTTAAACTGAACTACTTTAAGCTTGTGAAGTCTACTTACTGTTTGACCGTTTGTCTTTGTGTGTGTCTAGGGGGATCCCCAAAGCCTGGTCATGGGCTCATTTCGGGCAGGGCAGTGGGCCGATCCAATTGGATGCAGTGCAGTGCACAGGCAATGAGCTCTCTCTGGACGAGTGCCGTCACAGCGGATGGGAACAACACAACTGTGACCATATGGAAGATGCTGGGGTGTCATGCAACCCCTATTCAGGTCTCGTCCTTGACATAGACACACACATACAAACACGTACACCCCTACATACCTGATTCTGATTGGTCAACTGCCCCTAGTTAACTTTTTTACATAGCTGTGCTAGTTTTATATATTTTGTATCACTCCATGGTTTCTCTCTTCTCGCATTAAAAAATAATTTCAACTCAATATTTAATGTCTACTTAATTATTTATCTGGTAAGTAGCCGTGTAAATGGGATTATGTACAACAAACAAAATGAACCCTATTAGGATGAAACAAGACGCCTTCTCTTCGGTAAACTGTACTTTGTCACTTTCCATTGGCCATATAGAAACTGTCCAGAGATGAAATGTGTGTATATAGTGTGAGTGTGTGTTTTTTTTAATATGTATTCAGATGGCGTGGTGAGACTGGTAGACGGTGATAACCCATGGGAAGGTCGTCTGGAAGTATATCACTCCGGGGACTGGGGCACAGTGTGCGATGACAGCTGGACGGAGCAGCATGCGCAGGTGGTCTGCAGACAGCTGGGATTCAGGTGCTATTCTTTAATTCTCCAGTAGTTGTGAATATACAGTATACACACAAACCTTCAGTGCTCAACAAATCCCTAAAGTTAGGAAAACCCTTATTATGACTGTTAGGATTTGTTGTGCAAATGGCTGTAGGGGATTAGTAGTTAAAAATTCTCTCAGAAGTGTCCTACTCAACAATAGTCCAATGTGGGTGTCCACATTCTCTATATGTTCTATATGCATACATAAAGAATTTTGTGGGAGATTTTCAAGTGGCTATTGGGGATTTATCATGAGTGTGTATGTCCATGTAGGGGCGGTGCGGAGGTCGCCCCCTCTGGTGCGTTTGGAGAAGGAACGGGGCTGATTCTGCTGGACGATGTGGAGTGTGAGGGGAGTGAGAGCTCTCTGCTGGAGTGCAAACATAGCGTGTGGGGTCGACACGATTGCTCTCATAGCGAAGATGTTGGAATACGCTGCCACAGGGTAGAGAACAATGAGGTCCCGCTGGCTCCAGAAAGTACTGGTGAGTTATCTTGGATATACTGAAATATGCTTCAGTGTGCATGAGTAGGGCTTTGTGTGAGGTACAGATGTGTTTTGCTGATAGACTTCTCTGTCTGTGCCGTTTTGACCCCTTCTGAAATTCACAGGGGATTTAAATGTCATTTGTTGACAGAGGCCAGGAATAAAGGCGGCCATTGTAGTTTACCAAGCACTCGCTTTTATTGATAAAAACTTCCATTTGAATTTCAATAATGTATTGTGTAGCACTTGGCGACCACAGCACTACCTTTGACATTTTACTGTGTAATATTAGACAAACATGATATTTTTTTTTATATCTCCAAACAAACACCATTTCAATTTAAACTCCATTATTGTATAACATCACTGCTCTTTTTGCTCCCAGCCTGTGACATTTTGGATGTGTTTGAAATATAAGGTACGAAAGACAAGATTGATGTTAGAACAATTTTGAATGTTCCGTCAGTGTTGCTGTGATAAAATATGACAAAGTTTGTCAGAATGAGAAGATTCATGATTTTATTGGATCTAAAAGGTCATACAATGTCTCTTTTTATAATAAAAAAAATGTTAGAGCCTTTGTAACATTTGAGTTTCCACCTTGAAAAAAATGAATTGGTACTATAATTGGGACTTTATTTTTTAAATAACGGATACTTTCTACATTACCCTCTAAAAGCTTGGGCTCAGTAATTTAGATTTTTTAAGAAATTAATACTTGTATTTAGCAAGGACACATTCAATTGGCCAGTAGTGTCAGTAATAATATTTATTATGTTACTTATAATGTTAAAAGATTTCAATTTCAAATATAGCTGTTATTTTGAGCAGTCTTTTCATCAAAGAATCCTGGAAATAAATGTATCAAGGTTTCCCCAAATATATTCAGCAGATAATAATAAGATATATTTCTTGAGCGGCAAATCAGCATATGATGATTTCTGAAGGATCATATGACACTAAAGACTTGTTCAGCTTAAAAAGGGAAAAAAAGTCGGTACACCAAAACCTAAAACGCCTTCTATGTCCCTTGCCAATGGAGAGTATTAAATATAACAATTTACTCGATGTCCACAGGTCTTTGGTCTTTTTACAAGACACTCACGTTGAGACATGTTCGAAAAGCAATTCTCAGCAGACTGAATATATTCCTCCTTGCTCTAAACCGGTCTGATAAAATAGACGCTTGATGTTGAAAATCACTCTCTTTACTACAAATACGACGTATGCGTCTGAATTGAGAATTAGTTAAAGAATTTTTAAAGGAGCATTGTGGAAGATCTGAAATTTCTAATTATTACTGACACCAGTGGCTGTTAGAGAAACTACAGCCAGTCGTTCTCATGCTCGCCGGCCACACTAGATAAAGGTTTTTTATTTTTTGCTTACGAGGAGTTTCTGTGGGTATCTGGATTGTTTTGGAGGCTGGTCGCTTCTTTCAGTCCATTTGAAACACTACTGCTAGCGATTGGCATTGCTTACTAATGGCTGCCGTATGGATGTAAGTACGAGAACGCGCATGACGTCACATTTTGTGAATTTTCGCACCAACTCGGACCCGACACCTCCACACACAATCCTACAGGCTGATAGAAGCAACCGTGGTGGACAGTCAAGGTGTGGTTTTCAATATGAAGGCTTACATTTCAGACATTGACATTGTATTTATGTGTGTGCAGTCTGTTGAAAAAATAATTTTATTTGTTTGACTATTTAAGATTTTGACATGAACTGCACAACAAATTTTACTTTTGTAATGTGACACTTGTGAGTGTTTATAAGCACAATGAAGCACAGGATTTTATTCCTTTAGGAATTGATTGGATTGTGAAAGCAGGGGTTGAAAAATAAGAGATGTTAAAGATGTTAGCTGAAAAGGAAAGATGCTTTCTGGAGTAATATGCACTGATGAATTGTGTACAGTGAGACCATGATTGTATATTAAGAAAGTAATTAAGGCCCATTTAGATGTCATGAGGAGATTATAAATAGCTAAAAGTCTCCCTGTAGTCATCATTTTATCCCTTTAAAATTATCTTTGATTACCAAAATGACACATTTAACTGTTTTTCCCCTTGAAAAAAATTACCCATGCCTTAAAATAGCTTGAATGTATCTCAGCAATCAAACGTTGACGTGACTGGTTCCATATCGTCGGAAACATCAGCGATTTCACGTCTTGTTGTGGTTTAAGCTACACTAGTAACAGATCGGATGTGGTCAGTCTGGAATCAAATGAATTTATTCAATCCTTTCTGTCTGTCAAGCGGTGTCATTCTTTGTATTACATTATGTTTGGCTCATAAATGTACAAATGAAGACTCTATCTTAAAAAGTAAAAACCTACACATAGCCCCTTTAATGGTAAGATGCACCATCCAACAATGTGTTGCGATCAGTAGGTTTTCGAGACAAGCTTGTCTAAAGACTTGATAACGAACACATCTAAAAAGTTCATTTTTTCTTTCATTATTGTTTTTTATTAAATACTTTTTTATTTTACAATTGCATTTTTATTTGTCATAACTGATACCATATCTCATAATATTCACCATTATACGGCGTAATTATTATGGCTTTATGTTTCACAATGTAACTTAATATCTCAAAATGCGACTTTTTAAGTTTAAATTTTATTCCAAACTTTATCCCGAGCAGAAACAGGCTTCCATGTTAAAGTGAATATTTACTGATGAAAAAAAAAAAAAAAAATCAGCATAAAACGTAAATCATAAAAATGGACTTACAAGCTAATCTTGAATGTGTTTGTTTCCTGTCAGTCCTCAGATCTCTTCCTTCTTACCTTCTTTTTTATTTTTTACTGATATTAAACTGCACAAAGCTGAATATACCATTTACACAGCCCAACCAAAAAAGTCGCTGTTTGGATTTGGATCATTATTGCAGTGATTATTATGTTTCTTGCATGTTATATGTTTGGCAACAGAGTGTGTAGCTTTTCATTTGTAGCAAGACACATCATGACCAAACACATTTATTTCCAACAAACAGTTTATCAATATTTGGTCATTGACAATGCAAGAGTCAAGCACTCTGTAAAGTCTCCTCCAGCACATCCCAAAGACTTTCAATGTCTTCCCTCCCAACCATTCTTTCAGCTTGAGCCTGATTAATCTTGACATCGTCATCCTCTAATATGGTCATGATGTGTCCTCCTACATGGTTGATCAAGAAACGAAAAACTACACACCCCATCAATCAGGGTTAGAAGAACTGTTGCCACACATATAACATGCGTGCTAAAAACATCATTGCAATAATGATCCAATCATTGACTCATTTGCCCATTTAGATCCAAACAGGGACTAGCTGGTGTTAGTTACTACCTGGTGAACAACCACCTCTCCTTCTCATTAAACCATTTACTAATGATTTAAGTGCTGCACGTAGCTCACTGCTGCGCAGGGTGTATAGCAACGGGTTAATGCCTGAATTCAGCAGACATAGAGTACTGCAGAAAGCAAATGCCCTTTTTTGTGGTTTTGAGAGCTCTGTCGTAACTACATCTGTCATCATGAAGGAAAGGACAGGCAGCCAGCACACCAACAGAATCAGAATTATACAACTAAAAGTCTTTGCCAAATGGATGTCAATGCGCATGCGCGCTAGCCCTGGATGTTCATCGTTCATGTTGGCTTCGTGTTGGTGGGCCCACCACACGATCAAGGCATAGGCTACCAGTATGAGGACGAGCACCACCAACACAAGACAGGCAAAGAATGCCAGGTAATTACGATCCACGTACGGAAAGAGATGGGACTCGGAGCACGATTCACAAGTCTGACAACTCCAGCCCATCAGAGGAAGGAGGGAAATGAGGGCAGCCAAGGGCCATAATGTCAGAATTCCCACCAAGGCTCTTGTACGTGTCAGCTGCATCTTGTAGGTAATAGGCTTGTAGATGGCGAGATAGCGGTCTACTGCCATCAAAAGCAGACTTCCAACCGAGCCCGTAAACGCCATGGTCACGCCACTCAGCTTAAGCAGATACTTTGTTCTCGGGGGAGAGTCGTCCTGTTTAAAAAGGTGGAAATCCAGGAAGGAGATGGTGAAACAGCAGCTGGCTATAGTGTCGGCTAGTGCCAAGCTGCCCATAAACTGGTATGACGGATGTCGCCTCAGGTTCCCAGAGCTGGCTATGACGACCAGAACAAGCACATTGACCAGGAGGCTGAAGGGTGCGATCACGAGACAGATCGTGCCGACGGCCACCTTCTCTGCGCTGCTTAGCACCATGTAGATATTTGTGCAGTTTGTCATTTTAGTGGTAAATCTGTTTGCTTGCAGATAAATCTGTGGAAAAACGGTGTTCATTATCATTTTAGATTTACACAGTTTGCTTAATGTAGGCATTTTGTAGTATTACTCACCTGTACGAATCCGTTATAAAATGTGTTTGTTCCTTCTGTTGTCACTTCTAACCCATTATTGCATGTTGCACAGAAAGGAAGTAAGGGAGGAAAAAAGGCCAACATTGCCACTTCCTATGTGGTTTTGAAATCCGAGGCCAAGCATCTGCTAAATTTAAGCTTAACCAACTGCCTAGACATATTAATAATAATACTAATTATTAGTGTATGTGTATTTAGAGCTAGACAGACACACAGATTTGAATCCATGTCAAGATGCCTCTTATGTGTAAAGTTATGTGGCGATTTAGTGTGGTTTTCAATATGAAGGCATACATTTTCTGACACTGATATTGTATTTATGTGCATGCTGTTGAAAAATCTATTTTAGTTGTTTGACTATTTAAGATTTTGACATGAAATGGACAACAAATTTTACTTTTGTAATGTGACATTTTTGAGTGAAATATTTATAAGCACAATGAAGACATTGACAGATTGAAAGGAGGGGTTGAAAAATAAGAGATGTTAAAGACGTTAGCTGAAAAGGAAAGATGCTTTTTTTTCTGGAGTAATATGCACTGATGAATTGTGTACAGTAAGACCATGATTGTATATTAAGAAAGTAATTAAGGCCCATTTAGATGTCATGAGGACACTATGAATTGCTTAAACCCCCCCCTGTACTCAATAGTTTTATCCCTTTAAAATGATCTTTGATTACCAAAATGACTAATTTATCCTTGAAAAAAATTACCCGCGCCTTAAAATAGCTTGAATGTATCTCAGCGATCAAACATTGGCGTGACTGGTTGCAAAACATGTCGTGAAATCGCTGATGTTTCTGATGATGTGGTTTAAGCTACACCGCTAGTAACAGATCGGATGTGGTCAGTCTGGAATCAAATGAATTTATTCAATCATTTCTGTCTTTTATAAGCTTAAAATAAGCTTAAATTGAAAATTACTTCCTTCACTTGTGGGTATATATGTTTTTTTTTCATGTTTTTTTTTTTTTTAAAGACGCAGAGTATTCTAAGTGACAAGTGATTTTGCTTGCTTTTCTGTGGTTTCAGGACCTCTGGTACGATTGGCAGGTGGCGACAATAGAAAAGAGGGCAGAGTGGAGGTGTTTCTTAACGGAGAGTGGGGAAGTGTCTGTGATCATGGCTGGAATGATGTCAATGCTGTTGTCGTCTGCAGACAGCTTGGATTCACGTAGGGAACCATTTGCAACATCTTATCTCTAAAGCATCTCATAATCAGTACCGTGGAATATGATTCATTATCATTCCTCAGTCATTTTAATTTACTTTCTATGGCAGTGGGGTGTCAAAAGCCAGACCGATGGGTTATTTCGGAGCAGGGAAGGGGACCATCCATCTGACCAATGTGAGGTGCACTGGGAAGGAGTCGTTCCTCGGAGAATGCCCTTCTAAAGGACAAGACAGCCACGCTTGTAAGCACGGACAGGATGCAGGTGTAGCGTGTGATTATTTGCCGGAGCCAGAGGCTGACATAGCAGTGGTGGGCACACACACCTGCGGTTTGAGAGCTGGTGCTGAGAGACGCAGCAAGAGAATTGTGGGTGGATACAAATCTCTCAGGTAATCACATTTTTACTGCTGTGGAATCAGTTCTACAACACATGTCGTGGATGTTTATCTAAATCGATTGCGTAGGCAAGTTTTTTTTAAGACATACTACACTCTTAGAAAAAGGTTCATTTAGGTTCTATACAGAACCCCATGGATTTTGACTCATTTTAAAGAACCATTCATGCCCAAAAAGGTTCTATTTAGGAGAAATGCCTTAAAATATTTCATAATTCTTTCATTTTTAATAGGTTATTTGATTTTTTTTCTAGTGATGAAGTATGTTTACAAGTTGTTTAATTTATAAAATGTAATTAAAATAAAAAAATTAATTGAAACAAAATTAACTTAATCAAATCCAATCAAAAGATCCCATGATGAGAACCTCTAAAAGGTTCTATATGAAGCCCTTTAATGTTCTATATAGAACCTTTTCTTCAAAGAGTGTAGTTAAAGAGTTAAATGAAATTGTAAAAAATTATATTTCTTTCTCTCAGCTTTCCAGATCCCCTCATCTGCAATTGGTCAAATTTCACGAAATTGCAGTGTTGTTATTGATAACTAAAATGAAAACTATTAAAAATCACTTTTGTTCATTAAAAATAAATAAAATAACATTTAAAAGTCGAAATTGACGGAATTTTTTTGTAATACTAACATTACTAAAACTGAAATAAAAATGAATTAAAGCTAAATTGAAAATGAAAAAAAGCTAATTCAAAACGTGAATAAATACTATAGTAGTATTTAATACTATAACACTAAAATAACACTGTGCAACGCATTCTCATCCTAGGGCGTCATATAGTGACGCTTTTGACATTGCGTCTAAACCGATGCACATGGCTCCCTTTAGCGTCAATACTGTATAACACGCTTCGGTTATGGTAGATTTAGGTCTGGGGTAGGATTAGGGTTAGACCACTAGGAGGCGCCTTCTGGCCCATATATATCTGCGTCTCATATTGAGGGTGCCATGTGCATCGGATGTAGACGCAATGTCAAAAACATCAGTATATGATGCCTTGGGGATAAGCGAGTGTTGCTGTTTTTTAAAGTGCCACAAACCCTCAGTGTTTACACTTTTTGGGAAAGCTAACCTATAAATAGTTTATTTATGGTTGTCTCTTCAGATTAAGGTATAAGGTATAAAAAAATACATGCTTCACTTTTGAATGATTTTTAATTGATAAAATACAATTCTGACACCCTACCTGTCGTCCCCAAATGAATATGACTGTGCCTATTTCTTGACCTCATCCAGTGTGTGTGTGTCCCGCAGGGGTGACTGGCCCTGGCAGGCGTCCCTGTGGCTCAGATCTCAGTCTAAAGGGAATCAGCCTCTGTGCGGAGCGACTCTCATCAACTCCTGTTGGCTGCTCACTGCTGCTCACTGCTTTAAACGGTAAGAGAGACACTTGCTGGACATCAGTGGTATTAGCTGCTATACCTGGGCTCTTCAGCTACAACCTCAAGGGCCAATTTCGACTCTGTAATCATTTTTTAACTGATTGATTTTAATTAAATCATTGAAACTGCAAAAATAAGAAACACTCTGCAATCATGAAAATTATAAAGCACAAATATTTGCACTGCGAAGTATAAAATATTTTCAGGACAAGGGAATGCTCATTTTTCTTCACTGGTTTACTTAATGATTTAATGTACAGTTCTAAATTAAATAAAATCTCCCTATGTGGGTTGAATATATGGGATTTAACAGTTTAATTTTCTTTAGTTCCCAAATTTGTCTTAAAATTGCTCAAATTTGATAATTATGAAATCTGAAAAATGTTTCTCGCCCCTCAGATTTTTGGTCCGCAATAAATGTAGTTGAAGAACACTGGCGTAATTCAGATGTCTTCTGGCACAATTACACACAAAAAAGCTTTCATTTAAATATAAAAACTTTCTAAAGCTTTATGTACCAACACACAAATTACTATTTGTAATACCAAATATATGTATTTACACTACTGTTAAAAATAACATTTTGTGTTTACATAATATATGTGGGTGTACTGTGTATAATTATTTTGTATATATATATATATATATATATAAATACACACACATGCATGTATATTTAAGAAAAAAATATTATTTATAAATAAAATATTTATGTAAATTATATATAAATCTATATACGGATATACATGAAAATATTTGTTAAATGTATACAAGCATGTGTGTGTATTTATATATATATATATATATATATATATACAAAATAATTATACACAGTGCACCCACATATATTATGTAAACACAAACTTTTATTTTGGATGCGATTAATCGCGATTGATCGTTTGACAGCCCTAATAAAAAAAGTGACAGTAAAGGCAAGGCACTTTTATTTATAGAGCACGTTTAAAACATCCACTGCTGACCAAAGTGCCGTACAATCACTTAAATACATAAATAGGCTACATAAACAAACAGGAAACACGCACAAATTCATAAAAAGATGCGGTTAAATCATGCAGTCTGTGATGGACAGATTGATAACGACAGGAAATCCATTCGCCTTTCATTCATCAACCTCAAATATGGCTTATAGTTATCACTTGAACAACTGTACAAGTCTGCCTGCTCTAATGTTAACCGAGATAAATGTGGGCTATTATTAGACGCATAAGTGTTTGTTTGAGTGTGCTTACTGCATGACATACAGGCACCGGCACCATTGCCTTTAACTTAAAATACTCTGTCATTTTTGGTCATGCAGATAAGAGGAATGCAAACTGTGAAGGGTCTACTTTTATTTTTGTAAACTCAAAATAACAACCAAACGTTGTGCTTTTGTAAAATCAGTGGATACTTGCCTCACAGACATATGTCTATAGGAACCTTGAAATATCTACTTAATAAATATTCTCTGATATGTAATGCGTATGGCATCTAGGCGTGTCTACTTGCTACTACGGAGATGAGGGGTCACCATCATCTGCGGCCAAAAACACCGAAAATATTATCAATAAATTATTAAATATGTTTAGACGGTCTCCTCTGGATTTTTATTTTACGATACACTCATAATCATTACTCTTGCCGGTGGGCTGTGGCAAACTTTGTGTTTATTTGAGTGCTGGTTAGGCTATGTAAATATAGCTTAGGCATTTAAATAAGTGCACGATTAGTCGACTAATCGCTTTAACAAATGACTACTAGTCGACTAGAAAAATCTTTAGTCTAGGGCAGCCCTGATTAAAATAGAAAGCAGTTATTTTAAATTCTCATAATATTTCACAATATTAGTTTTGTTTTTTGTTTTTTGTAAAATACATTTTGCCTTGGTGAGCATAAGAGATTTTTTTCATTAACAATAAACAAATCTTTCTGACCACAAACGTTAGTGGTAGTGCATGAATTAATGTAGCAGGGGTAAAGATTGAAATGGCAGTACATCACCTGTAATATGAACGGATGTCTTGATTCTACAGGTTTGGCAGTGATGCTTCACGGTACGTGGTGAAGCTCGGGGATTATCACACGCGGGAACAGGATGATTTTGAACGTGTGCTCTCTCCAGAGCGCATAGAGGTGCACAGGAAGTACCGAACGGAGAGCTGGGAGCATGACGTGG